AATAAAATATGTTCAAAGTTTTATGACTTCCTAATTATAATATGTTTACTATACTTAGAATACAAAGCCTTCCTATCTGTTTCTTTTTTATATACAATAGATTGAATTATCAATAGAATTTTGACATTTTTTTGTTCTTATATTTTTTTGTTGGAAAACTGTAAATAAAGCAATCAGGATTACGGCATGAACTCGGTCGTAACAAGGAGCAGCCTTTCTCGCATCTTGAATTTAAATAAAGTATGGGAAGAAAGCGTTTAATTGCACCAAAAGGATTAATTAAAGGAGTTAATAGTGTTTCTGAGATGGCTCGCCTCAAGACCGATGGGATTTGAAATGAAATTTTCAAGAAGACCATTAAATATTGTCGAGTGGAACTTTTAAACTGAAGCTATTAAAAATAGCGAATGAAACCTTAAAATTGTTAATTGCTTATTTATGTCTCTCACAATGAATAAATAAATATATATTTTAGAAATTAAGGATTCTGATGAATATAATCTATGTTGGATATAGAGACTTTTGTAAAAGTTAAGCAATGTAAGATTTGGATGGGTGATCTATATTTGTAAATTTTAAACCATGTGAATTCATATATTTGAAGTACTTTTCAACAAATAGATTGTTTGCAAGACATATATTAATTATCTTGAGAAGTTACTTGAACTTTTATTTAGTTTGAATGCAATAGTTACTGGGAAAGTAGTATGTTACTTTTCAAATTACGACTAATTCGTATACCTTTAGTAAGTATACCATATGTGTACGTACCAATTTGATGTATTAATTGTGAAGCCGAGTGTTACTTGTCAAATTGCGCCTAGTTTGTATACCCTTCATTTAGTTTTTACATCATAAGTATCAATGTGATGTGTTAATTGAGAAGTTGTAAGTTGCTTCTCAAATTGCACTCTTTCGTACACTCTTTCATTTAGTTTGTATAGCATAACACACCTATGCTATACTTGACAAATTAGGCACAAATTGTACGTATCTTCGAACGCCTTTTAAATATTTTGTATTGCACCAATGTATTACTTGGGAAGTTGTGTGCAACTTGTCTAATTCCGCGTAGTTCGTACTCCCATATTCTTTTAGGTTATGTAGCATAGGTGTGTTACTTGACAAATTACGCACAAATTGTACGTATCTTCGAATGCCCTTTAAATATTTTGTATTGTACCAATTGGATGTATTACTTGGGAAGTCGTGTGCAACTGGTCAAATTCTGCCTAGTTCATACTCCCATATTATTTTAGGTTATATAGCATAGGTGTATTACTTGAAAAATTACGCACAAATTGTACGTATCTTCGAACTCCTTATAAATATTTTATATTGCACCAATGGGATGTATTACTTGGGAAGTCGTGTGCAACTTGTCATATTCCGCCTAGTTCGTACTCCCATATTCTTTTAGTTTGTATAGCTTAGGTGTGTTACTTGACAAATTACGCACAAATTGTAGGTATCTTCGAACGCCCTTTAAATATTTTCTATTGCACCAATTGGATGTATTACTTGAGAAGTCGTGTGCAACTTGTCAAATTCCGCCTAGTTTGTACTCCCATATTATTTTAGTTTGTATAGCATAAGTATGTTACTTCATAAATTACGCACAAATTGTCCAATCTTCTAACGTCTTTAATTGTTTTATATGGCACCAATGTGATACATTACTTGAGAAGTCGTGTGTAACTTGTCTAGTTCCGCCTAGTTCGTACCTCCTTTGATTTAGTTTATATACCATAAGTGTGTTACTTGACATAATACGCACTATTTGTACGTATCTTCGAACGTTATTTTGTATGGCGTAAAAAGTACTGGAAACTGATTTTTTGTACGTACTTTTACTTGCGTTTTCAGCGCCATCTATTACAAAAGTCGTACTTATTTATAGAAACTTTTCTATCACTAATTCAATGTCAATTATTAATGTAGGTTAGATGTTTATGCTGAAGGCTTTATATAAAGTTGAATAAAAACAAACAAATTTCAAACAAAAAAATTGGTGTCAGTTGTGTTAGGGACGGATAAACAACGCAACTATAATACGATTTTGTGTGTGCTAAATAAAAACAGCGAAATTTGTGATCGTGCTTTAAATATTAATATTTGCTTTTCGCAGCCGAATAAAAAAAATGTAGAGCACAAATATATTAGGTAATTTTCGATAATTGTTTAAAGCATACAAATAATCATAACAAACATAACAAAACCAACAGTTTTGCCAACTTTTCGGAGCGTCAGACGAAATTTTTACGATTATTATTGTTGACGTGACATCAACGTTAGCTGTGCAGAGTTTATGTAATCTTTTCGACGAATTATGTGAATGGGAAAAATACGTTAATTAAATGTACTCGTCACCCTAACATTTGCGCTTAGGAAATATAGTGTTTACGTAATGATGTTAATCTCGATATCAGTGTTTTCCATCCACACAACTCGCTGTGTACACTGAATTTGTTAAAGCCCTCGTATAAAGAACACTTTGGTAGACTACATTTGACGTATTCAAATTTTTCAACTAAATGTGTTTGATATATTCATAACATTTGTAATCAAAATTTATTTATACATATCAATAATTTTATAAAAATGAGTACAAAACAATAAATAAATTTATAATTTTCAATCTACAAATTTTCTAATTTTTTTAATATAAATAATTTCAGAATTATGTAAGAAAAGTTTAATTAAAATTGCTTAACCGAGAGATGGTGATTATACACATTTTCTTCCATTATTCAGCTAATTTGATCATAAAAAAGTTGAAAGTGTAGTATATTTATATTGAATTACTCGATTATTGAGAGAGATAATTAGTTCATCAAATACTATAATTAATGCTAAAATTATATCCTTTATAACAAACATATTACCAACCTTCTATTACCATCCGTTCGTGTGTTACTTCACGTTTCAAAAAAAGGATCGTCTTCGCGTTTTCATTAATTTCATGATAACCACGCTTGATAATTACATAATTCATTAAGATTCGTAATCAAAAGACTGTTGAATGAACACACTGAATCTAGCATCTATATATCGATTTTACATCCATATTTTCTTGCATTTTTGTTGTTGCTCAGGAAGCACAGTTTTTAGTGAATTACTCGAGAACCGCTGAAGATAATTATATCATTTTATACTCAACTTGAAGATGAAAGTCTCAACTTTTTATGGAGTGCATTACAATTTTCTGCTATTTTCTGTTCATTTACTACGAGTTGTCAAATTGACGTTCCTGAAAATGAAACCTTTGTTTTTTTTCAGAATATCCACGTAGGTTAATTACGTAATTTAACAGGGACCTTACTATTTAGACTACCAGACTTCGAATAAGCCTACTGAAAAGATTGTAGCAGCGATATTTCGATTTGGATTGGATTTTGTGAAAATCGCAGTTTGATTGTAAAAAAAAAACGATTTTCGAAAACTAATGAACTTCTTTTATAATTATATCATTGCGGGCAAGCGTAGCGCAACTCGTTATGTAACATACGCTACGTTCCAAGGTCGTTTAATATTTACGTGTTTTTTCTAAAAAAAAAACTCAAAAATTACATAACTTTGTTTATAATTTGTGATTGCCTAAAAAGGGTGCCACCTATGCGCAATATGTTATTTAAGAAAAATCATGTAATGTTCATAGGTTAACCGAGAAACCACGTTTTTAGATGTCTTCATTTTTTCTGAATTATTCAACAATCCTTCAAGCTGACTACATAGTCAACTACTCAAATTAAAGCTGAAAGTCTCACCTTTCCAGCTTAGTTCATGTCTTTGAAAGATGCTAAAAATATCGATGCAGTAAATAAACCTATTCACTTGGTCGTTTTCAGCCTGTAAGTAACCTTTGATATTCACTTTTTATTTAATTTAATTTCAAGATAACCACGCAGAATAATTACATAATTCAGCATGAATTAGAAACAGAAAGGTGAGATTTTCGTTTTTTGTTTAATAACTGCTACTTGCTTCTAAGAGTACTATTTTCACGTTTTATTTTAAGCTTGACAAATAAAATATTGCAAAAATTTACAATATTTTGTTAAGATATGTTTCTTTAATATATTGTTTCTTGTTTATTATTTAGGTATTGTTTTTATAATGAAATTAAAATGAACAAGTTTAAATAATACTTCAACCATGCAGATATGTTGTTAAAGTTGCCTACATAAATGATCTCGATTAATCCCATCCTAGAGGGAATATATGCAGGATGTTGTTCAGATCGTAGTAATTGTGCTGTAAACTATACCCGATTGACCTAAATATGCCAATTGCGTGCAAATTACTATAGTACAAATTATTACCACAACATTGAAGCAATTAATCACTAATCTCGAACATCACGTATAATCGGTTCTTTGATATTGTTATTTTTTTAGTTACATAATAATAAACATAATTTATTGCATATATGCTCGTATATATATCATACAAAAGTCTATTGGTTGCAGAGTTACAGTTATTGATAATTATAATATAAACAAATATAAAATAATGAATTTAATTAATGTTTAATCATTTCAATAGTATATAACAGGGGTGGTCAGACTTTTTGCAGCAAGAGCCGCAGCTAAACCTTTTGGTATAATATTTTTAAAAAAATCTGAGTCATAATATAAAATATATATTGTTGTGACTCAACTAGCCACAACAAGATTCTTGAAGAGCCGCATGCGGCTCGCGAGCCACAGTTTCGCCACCCCTGGTATATAAATAAAGCAAAATTTATATTAATAAAAATAAAATTCATTTTTCACATCTTACCTAATATTATTAAAAATTGATTAATTTTTACATATTTATATGGTTTATAATGTAATTGTTACTTTAACTTTACTTAATCTAATCTAGATTTACCTAATCTACTCTTGTTTTAAAACAAACTTATCATAAATATCTAACATAACCTTTGTTGTACACTTAATACGAACATATCGAATTATGTCTATGAAAATATCTGAAGTTTTAACATGATCATGTTTTCATTCAATATCTAAAACAGATATTAAATATTAGAAATAAGTCGTTATAATTATTATTTTAATACTTTACCAGAATATATATTCTCATCCAAAATACCTGCAATAATAATTGTATTTTAATAAAAAAAAAATCAATTTATAATATACAGTGGAATCTCGCTTAACGAGTTTAATCCGTTCCAAAATTTCCGGATTTTTACTCGTATAGTGAAACATATTCAACAATACACATAATATGTGTACACAAGTTTTAAAAATGATGTAGGAGGTGCGAAATCCGGCAATTCTATTCTCAACGTCACAATTAATTTTGCTCGTTAATGCTGGTTCCACTGTATATATTGTAATACGTATTTATTTGTTGTTGATATTGTAAATTTTGTTTTTTTTTCAAGTTATTATATTATTTGATAATGAATAAACTTACTTTGATCTCCAAATTTTTCATATGATGAAGTATCTATAACAAAATAAATAAATATTATATAACATATAAATATGTAGAAAATTTATTAAGAAATCGTTAAAAAAATTGGTGTTTATAATTGTGTTTGATTTTGAATTGAAATTCAATATTAACTCAATAGGAAAAAGATATTTATGGCCAATTTTAATGTTTTACTTTATTTTTTGGTTAAAAAAATATTATTTTTTTAATTTTATTATTAGGTAATGAATAAACTTACTTTGATTATCTCCCAATTTGTCATATGATAAATCTATAAGAAAATAAGATTTTTTTTAGATATAGTATAAATATGTAGAAAATATATTAGGAAAGAGTAAAGAAAAAAAAGTATTCTAAAAGCTCTAACTTGTTATAAGAAGATAAATATAAAAATATTAACTGTAGAAAGAAAAATTGATAATTTCTTTAATAAAATATAATATTTTTGGAAGTAATATTGAAAAGTATTTGTAAGTAAGTATTTTGTTTATTTTAATCTATTTTTCAAATGTATGCAGTCAGTAATCCGGAATTTAACATATATAAAAGTAAAAACAATAATAAAGTGTGGTAAGATAAATACTTTTTGAAATTCCCCCGACTTACGAACAACCCTTTGGAACGGAACAAGTTCGTAAGTCGTGGAATACCTCTATATAAAAGAAGAAATAATATAATACTTTGTTCAATAAAATCTTATGTGAAAATGTATTGGAGTTAAGAAATGTGTTCGAAGTTCAATTTAAATTAAATATTAACGAAATCGAAAAAGTAATTGATGAGTGAAGTATGTGATTATACACATTTTCTTCAATTATTCAGCTTACGCACAATTTGATCATTTAAAATAAGTAAATTAAAGACAGAAACTTACTGTCTCGTTGATGCTGTTATCGCTTCATCTGATAAGAATTTAAAAAAACATAAGTTGAAAGTGTACTATATTTATATTGAATTACTCGATTATTGAGACAGATAATTAGATCATCAAATACTATAATTATTTCTGAAAGTCTGTCCAAACATACTAGCAACCTGCTGATACCATCCATTAATTTCATGATAACCACTGAAAATGGAACCCCTTCAGGTTTGTTTTTTTCAAAATATACATGATATCAATAATTACAAATTTTAGTTTTTTTTTATACAGTACCAAGAAATTTGTAAATATGAAAAAGGTTATAAAAATCAATAAATAAACTAGGTTCTAATAAGTAATAATATAAAATAATATTAAAATACCTAAGCAATTGCAAAACAAATATTCAAAAATTCAAAAGTTCGTAAAATATTTAGAATTTTTCTATTTTTTCTTCTGTATTTATAACAAAATAAGTAAAAACATATAGATAACATATAAATATATTGAAATTATACTACGAAAAAAATAAGAAAACTGTGTTCGTTTAAAGGAGGAATAATTTAATAAATTTTTATATCAATTCCTACAATAAAATCTTAAAAAATGAAATAAACAATAATGTATGGAAATGCGAAATATCTGAAGGAAATGCGAAAGTGATAATATTTGTTTGTTGTCGTTTTGCAATGTTATTAAGCAAGTATGAGTAATTTGAAATAATCTACTTACTTGTGGTATTACGCACGCTTTCATAAACTTTTGAATCTAGAATCAAACAAATAAACAATACAATTAAAACAACAAAATATTTAGAATTTTTCTATTTTTTTTCTTCTTTTTTTATATTAAAAAATCAGTACAGTGGAACCTCGCTTAACAAATTTAATCCGTTACAAAATTTCCGGATTTTTACTCATATAGTGAAACATATTCAAAAATACACATAATATATTAACACAAGTTTTAAAAATGCTGTAGAAGGCGCTCAATCCGGGACTTCTCTTCTCATTCGTCACTCGTTATGCGAAACCTCGCTCGTTAAGAGAGTCACTTTTCTTACAATTCATTTTGCTCGTTATGCGAGGTGCTCGTTAAAAGAGGTTCTACCGTAATTAATTCAAAATCTTTTATTATATAAGAATTTACCTGATGTATCTCTTTTACTAGAAATTGGCTCTGAAACAAAATTATATTATATAAAACATTTTTATATTATATTTTAAACTTTTAGTGAATTTCTGAATTCGTTGTGTATAAAATAAATCTATAAATATTGTAATTATTAGGTCTACATTAGAATTATATATTTATACATTTTTTTTTCTTACCTTCATAATAATTTTCATCTAAAAGAAAACTAAAATTATTATAGGAAAAATGTGTTTAATGTGAAATGACTTACCTATATTTTCGGTAAGACCAATTTTTTGACCTAAAAAAAAGTTTTAATAGTTTTTTTTTTAATTCTTCCATAAATACAGTGATTGATCGATTAACGAACATATTCGGAATTGTTCGTTAAACGATCATCAATTTAAGAAGTTCTTTATGATTCATATGTATACTAGCTTTTGCTATTAGTACGTTATCCGAACTTAAAGTAATTGTTCGTTATTCGAATTGTTCGCAGTTCGAACTGTTTGTTAACTAATCACCCACTGTATTTGAATATTATTACCATGATATATATTTTCTATCGTTGTGGGTCCTAGAAAAGAAATTTCAATTCATACTTATTAAATAACATTCGCACTTATTTTTATATCTTGTAAAGAAATATTCTACAATAATTACGTTTTTCACCAAAAATCATTAAAATTTCTGAAGTTATAAAATTTGAACTTATATAATAAACAATGAATGAAACTCACATAGAATTAATTGTTCAGATAAGACATTTATTTCTTAATAAATGTGTGGTTACAAATAGATAAAAGCAAATAATCTTATTTGTTTGTGAGTGACGAAATAATTTTGTAAGATAGATGAATTTTCATAAATTAATTTGTCAAGCGTGTTTTTATACAAATTTTATAGAAAAACTGATTGAAAAATAATAATTAAATTACTAATTAATTTAATACTAAAAATACAAAATTTAATGAATTGAAGTACAAAAAAATTGAATTTGAAATAACAATAATTATGCAAAAAAAATATAAATTTTGGTTAGTATTTTGGAAAGTTTTATAGAAAAATTTTCTCCAATGCATATGAAAAGTACACAAAAGAAAATGATAATATGAAATCCATTACATATTCTCGAAACTGTTAGAAAATGTTCAAACTTTCAATATTTTTTGTAATTCAATAATTTGTTTACTTTGTTTTAATAAATTTGTGCAAGAAATGTTTGTTTTTATAAAGGAATTATAAGAAATAAAGAAACTATACGAAGAAACTTCGGTTCTCAAACAATATTTTGATAGTTCAAGTAAACTTTTATGAGGATTTTTTTCTCAAAGAATTCGGTTTACGAACAAACTTAATTAATGAATATACTTAAAAACTTACTTCTCATGTTGACTTCTTTGTTGCTTTCTGCAATTTTAATAAATTTTAGTAAATTGTTTCCAACTTGAATACAAAAAAAATCTTTACCATAACTCACGTTCATTTCATTACTTATAGTCCCTAGAAACAAACAAAAAAGTAATTATTCAAAAATAATAAGAACATATAAATGTTTTTATACTCACTTAAATGTCGTTTCTTGTATTTTACCAAAATAATAGCAATGAACAAAATAATTGCAATAAGCGTCAAAACAAGAATCACGTAAAGAAATACACTAACATATCTCTGAGTGACTTCGCTTTGAATAACGCAATAATTTTCATCGTCCAATTCATAAGAAATCCTCACAATCTGTACAGAATGAAAGCTTTTTGGAAACTTAATACAATTATGCTCCAAATACAATTCCTGCAAAAACGCGAAATCCACAAACATCGACTCATCTATCCTTTCAATGAAATTCCAATTTAAATTCACAATTTTCGCTTTCGGAATAGAATTTTTCTGTAACGATTTGATTTTATTATTACTCAAATCCAACGAATCAAGTGATGAAATTCCATCAAAACTATCCGTCATAATTTCAGTAATATTGTTGTTTGCTAACGAAATCGAATCGTTAACCGAAATCCGTTCGAATATTCCAACAGGTATGACCACTAAATTGATGTGCTCCAACGATAGATTTTTTATTGAAACGTTTCTTGTCACCAAATGATCCAACGATGTAAACCGATTTTTAGTAATTTTTAAGTTGTTTATTTCTGGACAATTTGATATGGTTACACCGAAATTCGTATTGTTGCAAACTATTGAATCACATCCTTTGTAATTGCAGAAACGTTCGTTTTCACTAAATGCACATTTCACAATTATTGTCAATAGTATATAAAATAATTTTGAAAACATGTTGAGGTTCGATTTTCAGGAATGACTGCGTACTAATGCGGAATATGTTGAACGCGTTATTATAATCACGGTGAATTCGCGATAATACGCAATTTCCGGTGTGACTAATGATTGAAATATACTTTAAAAATTAATTTTTAATATAAATATTATTATCATTTTTGTTCTTGATTACGTTGAAGCAAGAATGGTACAAAATTGTCTTTTCATTTAATAACGATTCCAAAAAGATAATTTAATAATTTTTGATGCATGGATGAATGAAAACTGTATAAAACAATAATATAAAAACTATACAGTGGAAATTCTGGTTCTCGAAATTCATTCCATTTTATGAACTACTACAAAACTTGATACTGATGATGAAAATAGTTGTAATATCGCGTTTGATGAAGGAAATGTTTGATGTGACTAATAAGTTTTTTTTTTAATAATTGCTAATAAAAATCCAAACCTCAAGTAATTATCGGTTTCGTGGTTAAAATTGAAATTATTATTGAGAGAATATGACGTAATATCTGATTGTAACTATTTCTTATATCCTTTACACACTGCGCTCGGTAATACGTACATTTTTATTCACGGTTCCAAACTAACAAACATATATCCAGACGAACGTACGATGAATGTATCATTTTTATTATTTTAATCAATAAATCTAATTGTGCAATTTATATTTTGTCGTGAAATTTATCAATACGCATTAAGATTAATAAGAATCAAGCGAATAATATTGGTTAGAATTACGTATTAATAATTACGCTCATGTCTCACTGTTATCAATATAAAAAACATATGTTCGGTAATACATACATTATTATTTAGAGAACCGAAATAACGTACATAAACTCATATGAAAGTACGTTTTTTTTTTCATTTCACATTGCAGATATTTTAACATGAGAAATTAAAATACCAATAAAACCTCAATCAAGCAGATGCACAAATGACAACTGTTATTTTAATTTGACTGCATTAAAAAATTTTAATACACATAATTAACACACATTTTAATTTTAAATGCACATAATTATTTAATTATCTTAAAGTACATTATATAAATAACACACGTTTGGTAATATGCACATAATTATTTAAGGCACTAAAGTAACGTACATATATGCAGACGAACGTACATTAAACCAG